TTAAGTTCTCCCTTGGCATCCTCTCTGACATCCCAGAAACTGGATGGTCATCAGGGTCCCAGGACCAGTGGGACCAGTGGAAGGTTAGAGGCAGCCCCTTAATGGCTGCCCTAACCACCCATGAGGATAGAGAGATAATGATCACTTGGGTTTTATGGGCATAGGGCTTGGCCCTGCCGAACAAGAGAAGAAGCCCAATGGCTGCAAACCCCTTAGGGGGTTTTATATTGCCAACCTGGGTCCGCCTGGGTCCACCCACTTCCCCTCACCTCCTTCCATCTGGGTCCACCCACTCTGCCCCTCACCTCCTTCCACTCTCTCCTCTTCATTCCTGTCCTCATAGCCACAGCGGCTTCCTTTCCGGCTCCTGACCACATCAAGTTTATTCTTGTCTCAACCTTTGCCCTTGCTGTTCTCACTGCTTGTAACACTTATCCCTCAGATCTAGGCACCGCTGCTTCTCAGCTAGAAGACCACCTCCTCCCTGAAGAAGTCAACCCTTCTGCACCCCATGGCCTTGCTTAATTTTCAGACTGTCTGAATTGAAATCCTACCTCTATTAGCTGCTATCTTGGGCAAGTTACAGAGCCTCCCCATGCCTCTGTTTCCTCACCTATACAATGAAGATAACAGCTGCACTTATATCATTATGCTGTTGGAGTAGTAAATGAGATGACACAGGGCCCAGCACATAGTAGGGCTCCATGCATGGTAACCATTATAATCATCACTGTCTGCCTCCTGGAGGTCACTTTGAGAGAAGAGACTGTGTCAGCCTGCACAGAGCTGTAACCCTGGGGCCTAAAACAGTGCTACATAAAAGGCACTCCAGAAATAGATATTGGAATCATTGATTAATTTGTTTCTCTCTGGGTATTTTCCCTTTTGCTACTCTCCCTCTCCCAATTCAAGCAGATAGTCTGTTAGGCAGACAAGAGGCTTCCCAGGCTGGCTCTGCCAATGGTGGCCAGAGCCCAGAGTGACCCAATGACCCCAAGCCACACTGTGAACCCAACTTTGCAGAACAATTCTTGCCTTTCTAGAAACACCCAGAAGAAACAGAGAGAGATGTCAGCCCCAGAAGGGCCACTCAGAACGAAAAGGACAATGGGCTTTGCAAGGGGACCCTTTTTAAAAACATGCTGGGAACACATATGGACCTACCAAGCCTTAGCTGCACATAAACTTATCTCCCATCTTGGCCAGGGGCAGTGGCTCATGCCTGTAATCCCAGCACTTTGTGGGGCTGAGGTAAGTGGATCACGAGGTCAGGAGTTCAAGAACAGCCTGACCAAACTGGTGAAACCCCATCTCTACTAAAAATACAAAAATTAGCTGGGCGTGGTGGCGCCTGCCTGTAGTCCCACCTACTAGGGAGGCTGAGGCAAGAGAATCGCTTACACCTGGGAAGTGGAGGTTGCAGTGAGCCAAGATCACACCATTGCACTCCAGCCTGGGTGAAAGCAAGACTCTGTCTCAAAACAAAACAAAACAAAAATTATCTCCCATCTCAACTTAGACACAGCTCCAGATTGAAGAAAAAGAAAGCTCTACTTTTTATATCTGAGTCATGGTCAATCACACCTGCCACTCAAATAGCAAGTTCCCTTATGACTCCTCACGGAGCGCCTCTCGGAGCCTCAGTTCTGCCATTGTAAGGTGAAGGCAGTTCCATCTCTCTCCTACGTTGTTTGTGCAGATTTCAGTCATGATAAAAAGTTCCCAGGGACCGGGCAAGGTGGCTTATACCTGTAATCCCAGCACTTTGGGAGGCCGAAACGGGAAGATCACTTGAGCCCGAGAGTTGAAGACCAGCCTGGGCAACAAAGTAAAACCCTGCCTCTATGAAACAATAAAAAATTAGCCATGGTGGAGCCACAGTAGTCCCAGCTACATGGAGACTGAGGCAGGATTGCTTGGGGCCAGGACATGGAGGCTGCAGTGAGCCACCATCGCCACATTGCACTTCAGCCTGGAGTACACAGCAAGACCTGGTCTCAAAACGAAAAGTTCCCAAGGACTTGCAGTGCGACCTTTTTTTTTTTTTTAGATAGAGTCTCACTCTGTTGCCAGGCTGGAGTACAATGGCGTGATCTCAGCTCACTGCAACCTCCGCCTCCCAGGTTCAAGTGATTCTTCTGACTCAGCCTCCTGAGTAGCTGGGATGACAGGCGCCCACCACCACACCCGGCTAATTTTTTTTTTGTATTTTTAGTAGCGATAGGGTTTCACCATCTTGGCCAGGCTGGTCTTGAACTCCTGACCTCGTGATCCACCCGACTTAGCCTCTCAAAGTGCTGGGATTACAGGCGTGAGCCACCGTGCTCGGCCTGTGCTACCTCTTTTAATCCTCTCAACAACCCTGTGAGATAAGAACTATTATCTCTGCTTTAAAATAAGGAAACCAAGGCACAAAGTGATTGTGTAACTAGGTGAGTTTGAGTAGCTGGTCCAAGACTGAAGCTCAGGTCTAACCCCAGCCCCCGCCACCCTTTCTCTCCACGCAGAAAAAGAAGGTAATCAGAGGGTGTGACGGATATTTGGTAAACGGCAATGACTTGTGCTGATATGGGTTGCTAGAAGGTGGGGCTGGGGGTTGGGGAGGTGGAAGGCGCCGGGCACAGTGGCTCACGACTGTAATCCCAGCAGAGACGGGTGGATCACCTGAGGTCAGGTGTTCGAGACCAGCCTAGCCAACATGGTGAAACCTCATCTCTACTAAAAATACAAAAATCAGCCACGTGTGGTGGCACGCGCCTGTAATCCCAGCTACTCTCGGGAGGCTGAGGCAGGAGAATCGCTTGAACAGCCTGGAAGACAGAGTGAGACTCCATCTCAAAAAAAAAAAAAAAAAAAAAAAGTAAGTAAGTAAGTAAGTTGGCAGGAGGGGGCGGCCCTGGACAGAGCGGGAATGAGGCCTTGTGGCTCAGCACTGGCCACTGTGCAGCGGTGGTGCAATGCCACGCCAGACAGCGCTGTGGCTTTGCAGAGCGTGGCCCAGTAGGGCCTTTGCTGAACCCTGTTGACAGGAAAAGAAGGGGCAGTCCGGCCCGGCCGCCAGAGGTGGGGGAGGGGCGCGCTCAGACGCCCAGAGAGTGCACCTGACTGGTGTCCGGCGGTCCGTGTCAAGTACCAGCTCTGTCTCTAGTTCTCAGGGTCACCTCCGGCTAGTTCCTCTCCTCTCTGGACACTCGTTTTCCCGTCTGGCTCAAGTGAGGAAGAGTACGGGCTGGGAGGCCCCGGGAACCCGCGCACTCTCGTAGCTCGGCTCGGTAGTGCCCCCCAGTGGACAAACTGATGAGTGCCAACCTCAGCTCCGAGAAGACCCGCAGGAATCGCCCCTTCTGTCCACCCATGGCCCTGGATGCCCGAAGCGCGCATCCCTTATTTCCAAAGCCCAAGAGGAAGGTGAAGGTTCCGAGGAGATCTGGGCAGGTGAGGAGAATCCCCAGGCTCTGGTTCTGAGGCTTGTTTGCTGTGTGAATTTGCACTCCTCATCTTCCTCTTGCTTCCCTATCCCTAAGAAGGGAGTTAGCAGGACGAGTCCTGGCCTGGGAGACATAAGACTTGGTTTTCTTTTTTCTTTCTTTTTTTTTTTTTTTTTTGCTTTTTTAAAGATGAGGTTTCACCATATTGGTCAGGCTGGTCTCGAACTCCTGACCTCAGGTGATCCGCCCACCTCAGCCTCCCAAAGTGTTGGGATTACAGGCGTGAGCCACCACGCCCGGCTTAAGACTTGGTTTTCAATGCTAATGAAAGCAAGTCCCTGCCCTTCCCTGGGCCTCAGTTTCCCCATCTTCACAAGCTGAAGGCACCAAGTGGTCTCAGGATCCTTCTGGCTCTGACATTCAGTAGTCTAAACGGGAACTATGTGTTTAGCGGAATTAAGATAGATGCATAAGAAACCAGCCTTCAGCTGAGGCAGGAGAATGTGAGCCCTTGCTATGGTATCCTGGCCAGCCCATCAGCCTTTACTCCCAGAGGTCTGGGAGACGATTTTGACTGGAACAACAATTATTAATATTTATACCTATAAACATTATATCATGGGGCTTCTTTTGTTGACAGTGTCCCATGGGATGTCTTTGGCTGGGGACAAGTCCATCAGTGCATAAGAGCCAGCTCGCACCAGCTAGCAAGAGCAAATTACTAAAGTTTCAGGCATTTTGCAAGCTGGTTGTTGAACATTGTTAAAAATTAAATTGTATGCTGGGCACAGAGGCTCACACCAGTAACCCCAGAACTTTGGGAAGATGAGGTAAGAGTAGGATCACCTGAGGCCAGGAGTTCCAGACCAGCCTGGGCAACATAGCAAGACATACATCTCTATTTAAAAATCGTAATAACAGCTTTGCGCAGTGGCAGTATCGTAGCCAATGAAGTTTATCTGAGGCGTGATTATTGCTAATTGAAAACTTTTTTCTTTCTTTCTTTTTTTAAATAGAAATGGGGTGTCACCATGTTGGCCAGGCTGGTCTCGAACTCCGGACCCCAGGTGATCCACCCATCTTGGCCTCCCAAAGTGAAAACTTTTTTCAATACCCCACCATGACAACTTGAAATATAGTCAGCATTGGCAATTTTTGACAGTCTCTATGGAGACTGAAAGAAAAAAAAAATCATAATACTAGGCTGGGCAACATAGTGAGACCCTGTCTCTACAAAAAACTTTAAACATTAGCGAGGTGTGGTGGTGCATGTCTGTATTCTCAGCTACTCAGGAGGCTGAGGTGAAAGGATTACTTGAGCCCAGGTGGTCAAGGCTGCAGTGAGTGAGCCATGTTCATGCCACTGCACTCAGCCTGGATGACAGAGTGAGACCCCTCTGTCTCCTCCCCACCCCCTGCCAAAAAAAATCATCATAATAAAAATTTTTTAATTAAATCGTATACATTTATAATTAAGTAAATTATGTTAAAACAAAGATAATATTAAAATCATCACTTCCTGATTATTTTACTATATTTCAGTATTATCTATTCTCTTAAGGTTACCTACATCTATTTATTTTTATGTATTTGTTTGTTCATTTATTTTTGAGACAGAGTCTTGCGCTATCACCCAGGCTGGTGTGCAGTGGCACCATCTTGGCTCACTGCAACCTCTGCCTTCCAGGTTCAAGTAATTCTTCTACCTCAGCCTCCCAAGTAGCTGGGATTACAGGCGCATTAGCCTGCCACTATGCCAGGCTAATTTTTGTATTTTTAGTAGAGATGGGGTTTCACCATGTTGGCCAGGTTGGTCTCAAACTCCCAACCTCAAGTGATTCACCCACCTCAGCCTCCTAAAGTGCTGGGATTACAGGTGTGAGCTCCTGAGCCCAGCCCTACATCTGTTATTACCTGTATAGTGAAACTATGATACAATGATGTGCTTCTGCACACCTATTCCTAACTCTTGGCTCTGTGACATCATGACAGCAGCTTGCATCAGCCCAGTAGTTCAAGGCTGCGGTGAGCCATGATCACCCCACTGCATTCCAGCCTGGGTGACAGAGTGAGACCCTGTCTCAAAAAAAAGTTTGTATATTGTGTCATTTGTAAGTTAAGTTGTGCTACACAGCTTTATTTATTTTTTTGAGACAGTCTCTGTCTCACCTAGGCTGGAGTGCAGTGGTGCAATCTCAGATCGCTACAACCTCCATCTCCCAGGTTCAAGAGATTCTTTCCTGCTTCAGCCTCCTGAGTAGCTGGGATTACAGGTGTGTATCACAATGCCCAGCTGATTTTTGTATTTTTAGTAAAGATGGGGTTTTACCATGTTGGCCAGGCTGGTCTCGAACTCTTGACTTCAAGCCACCTGCCTGCCTTGGCCTCTCAAAGTGCGGGGATTACAGGCATGAGCCACCTTGCCCATACTACACAGCCTTTATTATATCGGTAAAATTTATAATAAATATATGTCCATATATAACTTACATATTTGGATTTTTGAGAAACCAGAAGCCAAATATTATTGTCCAGCAAACCACTGGGCAAATTCAAGTTTATAAAGTCTTTTCAAAGCACATTTCTTATCAGGGAAGCCATCTCCAGTAAGGGATGTATTTGCAAGATAGAGAGACAAACAACCTCAAGCTTCCACTGGGGACACTCCAGTGGAAGGAAGGACACATGTAGCTCCACAGCTTTGTAGTCTGTCTTATTAAAAAATGACAATAAAACCAACACATTCAGGAGGTTTGTGGCACTCTCTTAACTTTTATGTTTTCTAATTCAAGTGCTTACATAAGCCGATTTGACTACAAGTAACAGAAACTGTCTCAGGCTTACGGAAAGAAAAAGCAGGCATTATCATAAGGATTAGGGAAGCCGTTGTGGCCCTCTGTGGAGCTGGATGGCTTCTGGAGCTCAGCACTTGCCCCTCTTCACTGCTTCATTCTTCTCTAACCCTGTGGATAGCTTTCTGCTTCTTTTCATTTTTTGCAAACAGCAGTGAATGTAAAGGCAGCTGCTTTACAGTTCCCAAGATTACCTGTTCTCAGTTCAGGGGCCAGCCCCACCCAATGGAATGCAGATCCCCAGGCCCCAGACAAAGGACCTGATGGGCCTGCTTGGATCATGTAGGCATTTCTGGATCAGGCAGTCATGGCCGGGAAGCTGGAGGGGCAAGAGTCAAAGCATACAAACATGGCCTCAGGGGCCACACCTAGTGGGGAGCAGCAACTCTCTGAGAAGGAGCGGGTGGGGCATGGGCTGGGCAAGGCTCCTGAAGGTTTTTTTTTTTGTTTGTTTGTTTGTTTAAACCAGAATGTTCCTGAATTTATTTGGGGCACACCCCAGTGAAGGCCATGTACCTAGAAGAAGGTGCTGGGCCTCTTGGTGAAGCGTGGCTTGTGCTGATGGCGGAGGACCCAGTGGGGCAGTGGGAACTTGATCTTGGAGTCATGAAACTGCTTGACCGCAGGCCGGCAGAGCTTGATGGCCTCGATCTCCTCCACCTTCATGATCTGGATGGAGTGGGCCCGGGTGAGGTGCCAGGCACCCATGTCTCGGTAGGACTGGGTGACAGCACCCTGGGTGGTCAGGTCCGGTATTCCTGGTACATGTTGTGGGTTCCACTGCAGGAGTCATAGCGCAGCCAGATGCTGAAGTACTTCACCTGCAGGGGGAACTTCCCAAACACCTGCCCACAGCAGACAATCTCCCCTGAAGACATCTCCATCTTTTTTTTTTTTCAAAGATGGCGTTTCACCATGATGGCCAGGCTGGTCTTGAACTCCTGACCTCAGGTGATCCACCCACCTCGGCCTCCCAAAGTGCTAGGATTACAGGCGTGAAGCCACTGCACCCTGCCCCATCTTCATCTTCTTTAACTGAGATACGAAGTGCCAGAAGCGGGACTTGGCAACAACTTGATTCATCACAAAGATTCCCATGCAGTAGAAGGGCGGTGTATGGCATCTGGTAGTGTGCCCAAGGCCTTCATGGAGTCCTCTCCACATGCTCACCGCCACACAGTGCCACTCACAAAAGGAGAAGGTTTGTAATACTGAATTAAGTCATGAATGAGGCCTGCTGCCTGCCCAGAACACACTGGCAGAGCAGGTTTCCTTGCATTCCCACCATTAAGACAGCCCTCTGGCCTGGGTAATCAGCCACCATGTGGACTGCACTTTATCTGACCGCGTACGCTGTCGGTGAAAATGCCTTTCATAGTTGACAATTTTGTCTGTAAAAAAAGTAAAAAGGACTATTTCTTATGCTGACATCTTCCAAATATTGTGATTGTAGTAAAAGAAACTCATCTCTAAGTGGCTTGTTTGTGCAGTTGGTTATGGTGTAGGACCTGCAACACAAGAAACTCATCTCTGTTCCTCCAGCCAAGTGACTATCCTGGGGACACCGGGGACTGACCGTGGACCCCAGTCAAAAACTGCTACATCATAATCATTATTTTTCATCATTCCATAGAGAATCTGAGCTCCTCAGGGGCAGACCCTGGAACTGCCAGGTCCCCCACATGTCCCTGACATGCCCAGGACAGACACAACAGCAGCAGACAGAGCATGCTGTCTGCAGCAGATTAAAATTCCAGCTTCCTCTCCTACTAGCTATATGATCTTGGTAAAGTGACTTAACTTTTCTGTGCCTCAGTTTCCTTACCTATAAAATGGGGATAAAAAATATTACCTACTTCTCTGGTAATATGACAAAGCAAGAAAAAAAATTACCTACTTCATAGGCACAAGGTCTTTTAGGCTGACTGACGGCCCCATGGATGCCATGTTAACCTCTGTGACCTGCAACGACACTCCAGATGAGTTCCCGGAAAATCTAAAGTAACTGGAAGACCATGAGAAGAGGAAGAAATGATCAACCCCTGCGATGCCTGCTTAACTTTAAGATATTCTCTATTGTTTCTTATTCCAGCCTCAACTGACAAGGCCATAGGACTTTGAAACTGACATTGGCCAACCTCCTGACTCCACACCCTAGGACCCCCTCCCAGCTTGGGACTCCACACCCTACTACCCCCACTCAGCTTGCAAAAAAACATTCTAAAGTTACTTCTGTAACTTTCCACTGCTTACCCCAAACCTATAAAACCAACTCCTATCCCTCTGCCCTCGGCTGATGCCCTTTTCGGCCCTAGCCTGCCTGCACCTGGGGGGAATAAACAGTCATGTTTCTCACACAAAGCCTGTTTGGGGGTCTCTTCATTCAGAGCGTGCGTTTTAACAATAGGGTTGTGGGGATTAAATGAGATAGTATTTATAAAGTGTTGGAACAGTGCCTGGCACATGGTAAATGCTGAAGGGTTCGGGATTATTATTACTGGCATCTTATCCTCAGCTGGGTCCCTGTAGGCTGGCTGCAGAGTGGGTGGAAGAGCTGGCATTGCCCTCTCTGCTATCTTCCACCACCAGCCCAGCAGGTAGGCTAGTGTGCATATCGGGGAGGGACCGTGTGGAACAAGAGGGTGGAGGGGACCCTGGCAGCCCAAGGGAGAGGTGAGTATAATGGCCTTGTACCCTGGTGGGATGCCTGGATTCACCCAGCTGAGAGAAACTCTGGCTCTAGGTGAGGTTCCATGGTACTGGGGCTGACGTAACTGTATGTGTCTGGGGTGGAGAGATAGGTGTGCCCTCAGTGGTGATGGGAATAGGGATGTGAATGTTTGTTCCTGGCTGACTGTGTCTGTAGCAGGATGGTGTCTGTGGGACTGTGAGTCCTCAAGGGAATGGCTGGAATGTGTTAGGAGCAGAGTGTGAAACCAACCTGTGCAGTCAGAGACCTCAGAAGGGCCTCACTCTTGGTTTAATGATCTGCTGTCATCATCTTGAAATTCTATTTTTTGAAACGGAGTCTCACTCTGTCTCCCAGGCATTCCTGGATTGGTCAGTGCAACGGCACAGTCTCAGCTCACTGCAACCTCCACCTCCCGGGTTCAAGCAATTCTCCTGCCTCAGCCTCCTGAATAGCTGGGATTATAGCACACCACTATGCTCGGCTAATTTTTGTATTTTTAGTAGAGACGGGGTTTCACCATGTTGGCCAGGCTGGTCTCAAACTTCTGACCTCAAGTGATCCATCTGCCTCGGCCTCCCAAAGTGCTGGGATTACAGGTGTGAGCCACCGCCCCCAGCCTTATCCTGAAATTCTTACGAAGACGACCTCACCCACACACCCAGGCACAAGGGGTTCACATTTTCACTTTGTACTGGATCCTGCCAATTTTGCACCCAATTCTTTTTTTTAAGACGAGTTTCTCTTTTGTTGCCCAGGCTGGAGTGCAATAACACAATCTTGGCTCACTGAAGCCTCTGCCTCCTGGGTTCAAGTGATTCTTCTGCCTTAGCCTCCCAAAGTATGGGGATTACAGGCACGAACCACCATGCCCAGCTAATTTTGTATTTTTAGTAGGGAAGGGGTTTCTCCATGTTGGTCAGGCTGGTCTCGAACTCCCGACCTCAGGTAATCAGACCACCTCAGACTCCCAAAGTGCTGGGATTACAGGTGTGAGCCACCATGCCCGGCCTTGTAGCCAGTTCTATGTAGGGGCTGTGTGTGGCTGTGCCTGGGTGTGGGTGAGGTCCTCTGTGGTTGATGTGTCTGTGCATGTGCATGTCTCAGATGTCTCTTCTGGACTTGGGAACCAAAAACCATGGTCTCTGAAGGGGTTCCAGGAACTAAGAGACAAACGTTATCTTGTCCCCACCCCAGGCACAGGGGAAAGCTCTGTCCTCAGTTCCTCCCTGCATGTCCCAGCCCAATTTCATGCCCCTACACCTGGACCTCTTTGTCACTGCAAAATCTCAACCCCTTTATCTGCTGCTCCTGTCTGACTGCACCCCTATCCTGTCCTTGTGGGAAAGATGAGATGGTTAACTGGAGACTTCTGAGATTAACAAGTCCTGAGGAGTGTGCAGGACAGGCAGAGGGAGAAAAGGAAAGGGAACACAGGCAGCTGAGCTCCCACTGTGTTCTATTTCCCCACCTCACAGGGAGAGGGAGGGAGAGGGGCCATCTCCCCACTCCCCAGGCAAGGCTACTCCCTGTACCTTCTATCAGAGCTTCCTGTGAGGAAAAGCTGGAGAGATAGTCAGTGGTCCCTGACTCTGTCCTCTAACCCATTCTGGGGCCCTGGACAACTGGTCTCCCCACTTCCAGCCTGTTTCCCCATCTGTAAACCAAAAAGTGTGAAGTTATGACCCCTAAGTTTCCTTCAGCACTCCCACCTGACTCTTGGTTTTCTATGCTATCTTTGACAACCACTCCTGGCTCTGTACAATGGGACTGTGGTCCTCACCCTGAGCCAGCCACAGGCCTCTGCCCCAGTCTCTGATGCCAGGCGCACTCACCGGCTCCTGGGTCTGGGCACATCTAGTCCCATTAGATAGATGGAGAAAGTGTGGCCCTGGGAAGGGACAACACACACTAACTTATTGGCAGAGCCAGGCTCAACCAAGTCTTCCTATCAACCCTCCCTCCAAGGCTCAGTTGCTGCGGCCACCATCACTGGCTCTGAACTGTAAGCAAGATGTTCTCTCAGGAAGCTCAGCACCCACAGCCCAGTCTCTGCCCCATCCCCAGTACTATAATTACACCAGTCACCAATGAGAAAGGACGTTCATCCCTCATTGTACTGATGGAGAAACTGAGACCCAGAGAGATGCAGTAGGTACTCTAGATCATTTAGCCAGGAGCGTCTGGGCTCCAATCTCGTGGTTCCCCAAAAACACATTTCTTCTCTTCCCAACCCCCTCCTAAAGACCCCAATCTGAGGGCTCTCTCTGGGCCCCTCCCTAGCCCAAGAAACCAAGAGCGAGACGTCTGTGTCTGTGTGCGGTAGGGCGGGGTGGGTGGTGCTAGTTCCCAGGGACTGAAAGACAGCCCCAAGAGGGGCACTGCTTGCTCTTTGCAAGTTGCCTGGACCCCCCCAGCCCACCCCTTCCCACCCAGGCTGCAGAAAGGACATGTGAAGTGGGGTAGTAGGGACGGGATAGCAGGCAGGGGTAGAAAAGTCAGGCCTGCTGGAGGCCCAGAGAGCAGAGCTTCCGTAAACTGGACTCCCCAGACCCTCCAGGACCATTATAAGTGTGTTCCAAGACCCTTCCTGGCTTCCACCAGTGAAGCTCCCTTTTATCTCTTGCACTTCCACCTAAGATACTGTGTTCTTTTGAGACAGTCTCACTCTGCTGCCCAGGTTGGAGTGCAGTGGCACAATCATGGCTCACTGCAACCTCAACCTGGGCTCAAGTGATTATTCCCCTCAGCCTCCCAAGTAGCTGAAACTATAGGCACGTGCAGCATGCCTAGCTAATTATTTAAATTTTTTGTAGAAATGAGGGTCTTACTTTGTTGCCCAGGCTTGTCTCAAACTCCTGGGCTCAAGCGATCCTCCCACCTCTGTCTCTCAAAGTGTTGGAATTATAGGCATAAGCCACCACACCTAGCCTAAGAATTTGCTTGAAGATAGGATTTTATGGAGTAAAAACAGCTCTCAAACCACAGCCATAAGACTCAACATTACTCAGATGGGAAAAGAGCTTTAGAGGATAAGAGGTTTGTCCCAGGTAGCACAGCAAGGCACTGAGGGAGCCCTAGTGGGACCCACACTCCTGTCTCCCAGCTGCCCTTCCTTCTTCTCAAGGCTGCCTTTCGGATCCTCCCCTAAGCAGGGCCTGGGTGGGGAGGCTTCATGAAGGCTCAGTGGGGGGCCAAGTCTGGGGTTCAATCGACAAACTCTGATGGCAGACCTGTTTTCGGTGGAGGCTTATGCTGTGCCCTGGGAAGAGGAAAGAGAGATGAATAAGGCATAGCACCTACCCTCTGCAAGCTCCCCATCTGTGCCTGAATATGAGAGAGTGGGTTCCCACAGAGCTAATTCTAGACACATCCTACTTCACTCAGTTCTCATTTTCCTCCGCTATGATCCCTCAGTCTTACTATTCTGCTTTTCTTCTGATGTTGCTATCCTCCTCCCTCATTTCCTTCCACCTGTCCTTTCCCTCACACATTATCTCAAATTTTATTTTTATTCTTTTTATAAAGATGGGGTTTCACCATGGTGATCAGCTGGTCTTGAACTCCCAACCTCAGGTGATCCACCCGCCTTGGCCTCCAAAGTGCTTGGATTACAGGCTTGAGCCACCACACCCGGCCCTCACACATTACTCTTATCCCACCCTATTTTACAACCAGTAGCCTGGGGAAAAGAGCATAGCTTACATGAGGAAGAAGGCAGGACAGGCAGTCGTGGCTCAGCTGGACTGAGCAGCAATGCTTCTCCTTCCAGGGAAGGGGTGCAGTGGTATCTGCTGCTGACACATGCCTCCAAGGCACTCAGCCCTGCTGGTGTAACAGGACACACCACAGTCAAAGCCTCTCGGACACCAGGTTTGTGAAGGAAATGGCTTTTTATTCAGCTGGAAGTCTCGGCGGACTCATGTCTCAAGAACCAAGCTCGCCGACTAGAAAATCCTGGCCTCTTTTAAAGTCTCACAGTCTTAGAGGGTATGTGTGAGAGGGTCGGGATTAAAGAGGTAAGCGAGGGGTTCCTTAGGTGGAGTCTAATCATGATTAAGCAAGAATAATGCCTTCCAGGGAAGATTCCTCCACACCATGCCTGTGAGCTATAGACAGGATAGGAACTGGGGTTGGGAGGTGGGGGTCGTTCATCTTTAACCTCCAGGTTCCTCTAGTGGCACCGGTTTTGTCTCCTCCGCTGACCTTGTGCCTTCTATTTTCAACTTTCACTTCTCCTTTTGAAATGCAAGGCTAAGGGGAAGTGGTCTTAGAAGCTTAAGAGGAAGGGGTCTCTTTCTTCACAGGGAGCAACCCAATTCTAGGACTGACATCTAATCTTCACACTCATCTTGCAGGACAGCAAGGAAGGAGAAGTGATCCCAGCTTCCAGATGGAAAGATCAAGGCCCAGAGAAGGTCAGTGGTGGCTGGAGGCCTGAGGTCACACAGCAGCCAAGTCTGAAGTCATTAGTCAAGATGACTATGACTGGCCACCCCACCTCCCCTTCCCTGCCCTACCATGACCCTGGGAGATCTGTTGTCCTGTGAGGGAAAGGGGCTCCAGGCTGGGCTGCATCTGAAGCTCCTAGATCCACAGACATCACTTCTTGGGCTATCCATCCTTGAATCAGCTCCAAAATCCACCTTCCTTTCTTTTCCCAGGACCCCCATACCCTGCTCCCAGAATCCTCTGCCTCAGCTAAGACATGGGGATTAAGAGAATGGAGTTAAAGCGCACAGCTTATAGGCCTGGCTGCCCTAGCCAGACATCTGCCCCACTGTGGGTGCCTCATCGATTCCTGGGGACTCAGGCAACACCTGTTCCCAGAGCTCCCCTTCTCTTAGAAACAGAAAAAAGCTCTGGGCATCATTATGTGCCAGGATCTACTCTAAGCACTCGGTATGTGTTAGCTCACTGTACCCTCAGAGGAAGCAACTGAGGCACGGAGAGGGTGAGTAATCTGCCTGCATAGATGGTAAATGATTAAGGCAGAACTTAAACTGAGAAATCTGATTTCAGGGACTTTTTTTTTTTGAGACGGAGTCTCGCTCTGTCACCTAGGCTAGAGTACAGTGGCACGATCTTGGCTCACTGTAGCCTCCACCTCCTGGGTTCAAGTGATTCTCCTGCATTAGCTCCCCAAGTAGCTGGGATTACAGGCATACACCAATTAGCTGGCATGCACAACGAATTTTTGTATTTTTAGTAGAGACAGGGTTTCGTCATGTTGGCCAGGCTGGTCTCAAACTCCTGACCTCAAGTGATCTGCCTGCCTTGGCCTCCCAAAGTGCTGGGATTACAGGTATGAGCCGCCACGCCTGGCTCAGAGACTTAACCACTGTATCAGAGGCCTCCAGTCCCCTGATATCTATTCTCTCTCTTTTCTAGAGTAAAAAGCAGTCCAGAATAATCACCATATTTCCTAGTCTCACTTGCATCTAGATGCACCTGGGAGAAAAGAGATGTGCAGTGGCCACGCCATGCCTTTAATTAGAAGTGTGTCCTCCCATTTTCCCCTTCTCTCTGTTGCATTGTGGGCATAGGTGAGTCCTGCTGGACTGTGCAGATTGAACAGCTGTCTTTTAACCAATATCTCCAATGCAGCCTCCACACAGCAGACAGGGAACTCATCCCATAATACAAATCAGATCATGAAGGTCACCTGCCTGAAACCCTCCGTGACTCTCGATTGCTTTCAGAAGGAAGTCCAGACTCCTGGATGTTGGGCAAGGTCTCCTGTTTGCCCTACACTATCTTTCCATTCTTGTCACTTGACATTTTTATCTTCTGCCTTCACCTGAGGGCAATCATCAGGAAAAATCTCATCCTCTCTCACCGAATCCTTCTCCTCTGCCTCCCCAATTCCCCTCCCCACATCTAGTGGACTCCTATGTGCCTATCCTTCAAGACCCAGCCCAGCTGGGTGTGATGACTCACGCCTGTAATCCAAGCACTTTGGAGGCCAAGGTGGGCGGATCACCTGAGGTCAGGAGTTCAAGACCAGCCTGACTAACATGGTGAAACCCTGTCTTTATTTAAAAAAAAAAAAAGAAAGAAAGAAAGAAAAAAAGACCCAGCCCAAAGACTGCCTCCTGTATGAGGCCTTTCCTGGCAGAGCGGGGGCTCCCTCCTTCGGTCTTCCATGGTACAGGGGCAGCCCTATGTGATAGTAATAGCCTTTCGGTATTGTCATAGTCTGTAGACAAGTCTACCTCTCCCATCCCTCTATGAGAGCAGCGACGAAGTCTAGGTCATCTGTTGATTATCCGTACTCAGTATGAGGCCAGGCATCAAACTAGTAACAGTCAAGTTCAATGAGGGATTGACACAAGGGAAAATCTGTGTGTGCACATGCATGTGTATAAACGGCCTGATCTGGCTAGAGGCCCAGGCCAAGGAGACAGAGGACATCTAAAAATAGCCCCATCCCCAGGACCCCAGACCAGGCCTGGTGCCCAGATAAACTGATCCTGGGTGAGGGGGTAGGGGCCCAGAATGGGCAGGTAGAGACTGAAGACTGAAGAAGAGCCCTCTGGGGTCTGTTAGCAGAGGCAGATGGGCCTTGCCTGACTATTGGCAGGTGGACCTAGTGGTCAGATGTCAGTGATCCTCAGGGACCAGTTAATATATCAGGCTGGGACTGAGCATCACCTGCTCCCTTGGCCCCACTTATAGGGCAAAGGGGAGCCTGCCAGCCTATCCACTAATGACAAGGCAGAGACACTGGAAAAGTTTGTCCTCTCTCAGCCCTGGCCCCACCTTGCCCTCTACCCTACTTGGAAGTTCCTTTCCTGAACCACTGACTGCCAAGCTTGAAGGACTGAAGAGATCATCTGGCCCAACCACCTAACACAGAGTTTGGAAAACTGAAGAAAAGATACTGGCCCAAGGTCACAGAGAAGGCAGGGTGAACAATGTCACAGGGAGAGCCAGTGTAGAATAATGGTTAAGCAATGCAAGCTCTAGAGCCAGTCTGCCTGAGTCCAAATCCTGGCTCCCATCTGTAAATCAGGTACGAGAATAGTACCCACCTCACTAGGTTATCGTCAGGGTTACATGAGGTGAAAGACAAAAAGCTACTCAGTCCAGTGAAGTGCTCAGGAAGTGCTGTATCAATGTTAGCAACAATATTCTGCACCACGCTCATAGCACGCAAAGCTTCTTTGTACCCACAATCTTGTTTATTCTCTCAAAAGGTTAGACATTATTATCCTTATCACACAGAGGAGGAAACAGGCACAGAGAGACTGACTTGTCCAAGTTCACGCAAGTATGTCTCCCAACTTTCCTTGGTGGTATTTACACCTCCTCCCTTTCCGCGGACAGATCATAAACCGCCTCACCAGCGGTGGGAGAAGATTCAACAGCCAGACATATACCAGCCTATGACTCCTGAGCTGTTATTTATTTATTTATTTATTTATTTATTTTTGAGGCAGAGTCTTGCTCCGTTGCCCAGGCTGGAGTGCAATGGCGTGATCTTGGCTCACGGCAACCTATACCTCTCAGGTTCAAGCGATTCTCCTGCCTCAGCCTCCACAGTAGCTGGAATTACAGGTACCCACCACTATGCCTGGCTAATTTTTGTATTTTTAGTGGAGACAGGGTTTCACCGTGTTGCCAGGCTGGTCTTGAACTCTTGACCTCAAGTGATCCACCTGCCTTGGCCTCACAAAGCTAGAATTACAGGTGTGGCCTGGGCTGTTTTTGTTCCTGCACTGAATGATCCCATTCTGAGAAAGACAGCCTGCTTCATCTGACTTTAATCTGACTTTATCTCTTCCTGACTCTGATCTCATCCCTCTAACCTCATGGTCCTACCACTGCCAACCCTTACAAGGAGAAATCTCTCACCCTGGGCCCCAGTCCTTGTTACCCCCCCAGCCCACCCAGTCCTTCCTGCAAATGGGCTCCTTCCTTTTCCTATCTAGTGTCTTTGTTTACTACAGAGTCCTGGGTTGCTGTCCCATCAGCCCACACCAGATAACTCCTAAGATCTCAGCCCAAGCCAGGCTGACAGTGTTGGCTCTGTACTTGCTTCCTGGAACACTCCCTGCCAGCCACCCTGCCATGGCTTGCCAGCTCTCCTCACCCAGCGACAACAGTGGTCATCTGTGTCCACAGCAACCAGGTTCATTAGGCCTCTGGGAGCTAGTCGAATCCTTCCAGAATCTTGGGTAAGCTGTTCCTGAATAGAATGCACTATGAGGCATGACTACTGAACCATCTGTTTGGTGTCCAGAGAGGGGATGGAGGCCAGGCCACATGGCACACAAACATGCTTGAGACCTGGTAATGTGAAGTGCTGTTTTATAAGCCTAAGGTTTGCCTTTCTAATTATACTTTACCTAATCCAATATTCGAGATTATTTAGATTTTTGCAGAGGCAACCTTTTTTTCATTTGAGAAAAAAGGAAACTGAAGTTTGAGGAGGGAGCCAGGGTCAGCCCCAGGTTTGGGGCCTCATTTAATTACTTTCTGGGAATAACCTCGTCCCCAAAGAAAGCTTCTGTTGAGATTCAGGCTACACCCATGCTTCCCAAAGGGTAGTTCTCACCCTGGGAGAACGTGGGGCCCTGCCACACACGGGAAATGGCTCAGGCTCCTGGACCTCAGGGATGGAGTGAGAAAGAGGACACAAAACAGGATACTTTGGCAGGAGGAAAGTTGAGAGTAGTGGAGAAGGAGACAGTGATGATGTTAGAATTTCAAAACAGAGAAAACACTGCAAAGAACAAGTGGCTTTCTTTTCTCTGGAAAGACTGTCCATTCCACAAATATGTGCCAGGTCCTGTGCACAGTAGAGAGCAACACATACTGGGTCCCAGCCCTCTAAGGGCCTCTAGTGTAATAACAAAGGCAGACTGAAACAAACATCAAAGCAGGATAGGAAAGGACAGGGCAGAAGGGGCTACCCAGAAGGATCATTACGCTGAAACCTGAAAAATGAGTAGGAGTTGGCTGGACGTGGTGGCTCACACCTATAATCCTAGCACTTTGGGAGGCTAAGGCAGGTGAACTACTTGAGGTCAGGAGTTGGAGACCAGGCTAGTTAACATGGTGAAACTCCATCTCTACTAAAAATACAAAAAATAGCTAGATGTAGTGGCGCATGCCTGTAATTTCAGCTACTCAGGAGACTGAGGCATGTGAATTGCTTGAACCCAGGAGGCAGAGGTTGAAATGAGCCAAGATCAAACCATTGCACTCCAACCTGGGTGACAGAGTAAGACTGTCTAAAAAAAAAAAATAGAATACTACTTTTAAAAGATTTTTTAATAAAAAAAAAAAGGAGTTAATGAAAAGACTGTAGGGGAAAGGAAGAGCACTGTTGGCAAACAGAAAGAGAGAAACATGGTGCCCCTCAAGGTACAAAAGATCAGAGTGGCTGCAGTGTGGAAAGCTGGAGAGGCAGGTAGGGGGAGAGTGTATAGGCTATGAGGCTGTGGGTCGTGGCTATGGGGCATGTCAAAGAAAATAGGTCTTGTGCTAAGAACCACCGGCAGCCAAGGAAGAAGGCTAGAAGAGAAAAAGTATAAACCAGATACACCTGTCCCAGCTACCCGAGAGGCTGAGGCAGAAGGCTCGCTTGAGGCCAGGAGTTGGAGAAACATCCTTTGTGCTGCATTCCTCAACTTGTCCTCCCCTATCTCCTCAGGGTCCTTGGGAGGCTGGCTAGGTGAGGATAGTGATCACGCCCTCTGCAGATTTGGAAACTGAGACCCAGTGAGATCATGACTTGCCCAAGGTCACACAGTTGTTGTATACGTAGCGGGCAAGATTGGAACCCAAGTCTCACTCCAGAGCCCCTAAAGCTAGAGAGGTAGATTCTCTCCTTCACTCGCTCATTTGTTCATTCATTCAATATACTACACCTGTCTACAGCCATACCACCCTGAATACACCCAATCTTGTCAATTGTACCTTATTCTCCGCCAGAAACTCTTCTTAAAATAGAATTTCAGTAATAAATTAGACCAAGGAAATAGATGAGATCAGGCTAAATAGAGTCTGGGCTTTCTTCTGCCAGCAATGGGGAGATGGCTGGCTTCTGAGAAGGCAATTGCCCCTCCCCACTGAGCTGCCCCCTCTCCCCCAGGGTAGGGAGGGCCACTGTTCTCATTTCACGGAGCATTCTGCCAGAGGCAGCAGCTTCTTAGAAGCAAATTGGCGTTGAGTAAACCTCTACCTTCTGCCATCATTTGTTCTCTCAAGCCCACAGTATCTAGAACTCTTGGGGAACAAGGAAGCAGATTTCCTAGTGGCAGAAAGAACACTCCATTCCACCCACTGTGGCTGCAATCCCCCTGCACTGTGAGCTTAGTGAGAGCAGGGGGCTCTCCTGTTCACCCTGGATCTCCACTGAGCCCACAGTGCCTGGCCATAGGAGTGCTCCATTAAGATTGGTAGAATGAATGAATATTTAAATAGAGAGAAAGGGAAATATGAGGAAACTTATCTCCAAGATCTGAAGGCCACTCTGCGACATCAATGAGGAGGAGTTGGCCACATACTTGAATCCTTTCCTATTGATTCAGGGTCTCAAAAGGACTTGGCTTACTCAAACATCCTGGGGAAAAGAACTGGAAAGAGGATAGGAGAAAGAAGTTACTACTCCTTCAGCTTTTTAAGCCTCTACTCTAGTTCTTTCCTGGTGCCAGTAGCACATTCTCTAGCAGAGGCATCCAGATGGCAGGGAGGGTCCAGGAAACGGCTGATGATGCTGAGCAGGCCTCCCTTGTCCCCGCTCCCCGTGGTCCCATGGATCAGCAGGTGCTGCAGCTCATCTTGTTGGCTGGCTTCTGGTTACTCATTAGTGCATAGTAGGCTTTCCATTTGTTATCTTTTAATCCTGATAACCCCAAGAAGTTGATGGCCTTCATCTATTTGGGAGAAAAGGGGACTCAGAAGGGGGAAAATGAGCTTGTTCCAGTTCTCTAGCTAGTAACTGCAGGCCTGGAATTTAGAATCAGGGATCTTTCTAAAGACATCGAATCTGAAGATGTCAGAGGCATTCTAACCAGAGTGACTCCATCTTGCATAGAGACAGGGTAAAATGAAGCTGAGACCTGGCTAAGATGTGAAATATTCTTAGTCACAAAATGTTTACAGTTAAGGGAACGGGTTAATAATGTTTACTAAACAGACATTTCTTTACTTCTCTAATGAACTTGCTTTCACTTTATTCTGTGGATTTGCCCCAAATTCCTTCTGGTGTGAAATGCAACAACTCTCTCGGGGTCTGGATTGGGACCCCTTTCTGGTAACAAAGACACCATGCACCAGGGGCATAAAAAGAAGGGACGTCTAAGACTTGCTGGTTCTATGGCAGGCAGAGGCAGAAAGAGCCCCACCATCATTACCAGCAAATGGGAAAAATTCCCAGTTGCAGATATTAGGGGTGGGATGGGGCAGGGGCAGTCAGCATCCATAGACTTAGACTCTGAAGAGGCAAAAAAGGAGGGCCATGTTCTTGGATCAGCAGAGCTTCTAGCTCAGCTTCTTTAGCCTCTAGCTCTTTCCTGGTGCCAGTAGCTCGTTCTCTAGTGGAGGCATCCAGATGGCAGGGAGGATCCAGGAAACAGCTAAAGATGCTGAGCAGGCCTCCCTTGTTCCCCCTCCCCATGGCCCCATGGATCATCCGGTGCTGCAGCTCATCTCATTGGCTGGCTTCTGGTTACTCATCTCTCCTATTCTCCTTTTCCCAGCCTGTGGTTGCTGTGGAAACATAGAACAGTGACCTCACCATAGGATGAGGGCTGGGGAGATGCTGTTCTTGGCAGGCACTGGTCTTGTTGCCTGTCAGATGTTATATCCACATCTGGATGTGCCAAGGGCAAGACAGGGGAGCACAAAAAGTGACAGGGCTCACATTCTCCCCCAGATGTAGTGAGCATGACAGAGCTAGAGGAGGCAGGTACTCAGAGGGATGAGGAGAAAACGGTACATACTTAGAAGGAAGAAGGATATAAACCAGGAGGAAAGGAGATGGGGTGCAGCTTATGGGTTAACCTCAGGGACCCAGGTCTGTGCATGGTGGCAAGGTGGGGGAAGGGCAGTGAGGGTAGTTGGTTTGAGGTTTGTCTCGTAGAGCTTCTCAAAGCCCCATGCTGCTCAACTTGGACAGGCCCCAAGAGAGGGAGCAAATGGATTTTCAGTCAGTGCCCCCGACAACCCATCCTAAAAGCCTCTATAGACCTCTTTTCACAGTTGCAGCAGTTTCTAATCCTGTCCCAGAAATAAGAAAACTAAGAATTAAAGAAGCAAAGCAATCTGCCTTGGGTAACTAACTCAGCAGGCAAGCTGCAGAACTCAGACTAGGTCTTAGATGTCTGCACTACCCCTGGAGATAATAACAATAGCAGCAGTGAACATTTACTAAGTCAACCATATTCAGCATTTAAATGTGTTATCTCAGGCTAGGCGTTGTGGCTCATGCCTGTTGTAGTCTCAGCACTTTGAAAGGCCAAGGCAAGCAAATTGCTTGAGGCCAGTAATCCAAGACCAGTGTGGGCAACATGGCAAAACCCTGTCTCTACCAAAAACAAACAAAAAGCACACAAAACATTAGCTGGGCATGGTGCCATGCACCTGTAATCCTAACTACTCAGGAGGCTGAGGTGGGAGGATACCTTGAGTCTGGGAGGTCAAGCCTGCAATGAGCTGAGATCATGCTACTGCATGGCCTGAGTGACAGAGTGAGACTCTCTTAAAATAAAGAAATAGGCTGGGTGTGGTGGCTCATACCTGTAATCCCAGCACTTTGGGAGGCAAAGGCAGGCAGATCACTTGAGGTCAGGCGTTCAAGACCAGCCTGGCCAACATGGTGAAACCCTGTCTCTACTAAAAATACAAAAATTAGGCAGGAGTGGTGGCCCATGCCTGTAATCCTAGCTACTTGAGAGGCTGAGGCAGAATCACTTGAACCGGGAGGTGGAAGTTGCAGTGAGCAAAGATCATGCCACTGCGCTCCAGCCTAGGTAACAGAACGAGACTCCTTCTCAAAAAAAAAAAACAGACTCAGAGTGCCTTAAGTGAATTGCCCAAGGCCACACCACTAGTACCCAATGAAATTCAGATCAGAGCTGGGCACGGTGGTTCACACCTATAATCCCCAGCACTTTGGGAGGCCTAGGCAGGCGGATCACGAGGTCAAGAGATCAAGAATATCCTGGCCAACATGGTGAAACCTGGTCTCTACTAAAAAATACAAAAATTAGCTAGCGATGGTGGTGCGTGCCTGTAGTCCCAGCTACTTGGGACTTGAAACCCGAGAGGTGGAGGTTGCAATGAGCCGAGATTGCGCCACTGCACTCCAGCCTGGTGGTAACAGAGCAAGACTCCATCTCAAAAAAAAAAAAAAAAAAAAAAAAAACCTGGGTGTGATGGCTCATGCCTGTAATCCCAGCTCTTTGGGAGGTCAAGGCGAGAGGATCACCTGAGGTCGGGAGTTCAAGACTAGCCTGGCCAACATGGTGAAACCCTGAAACCCTGTCTCTACAAAAAAAAAAAAAAAGAAAGAAATTCAGATCAGAATGAAGATCTGCCAGCAGCCATTAGCCTAGCTTCAGCTTTCCATCACTGCAATTTTTTCTTTTTTTTTTTTGAGACGGAGTTTCGCTCTTGTTGCCCAGGCTGGAGTGCAATGGCGCATTCTCGGCTCACCGCAACCTCCACCTCCTGGGTTCAAATGATTCTCCTGTCTCAGCCTCCCAAGTAGCTGGGATTACAGGCATGTGCCACCATACCCGGCTAATTTTTTGTATTTAGTAGAGAAAGGGTTTCACCATGTTTGCCAGGATGGTCTTGATCTCTTGACCTCATGATCCACCCGCCTCGGCCTCCCAAAGTGCTAGGATTATAGGCGTGAGCCACCACACCCGGCCTCCATCACTGCATTATAAGGGCCACCACATAAGGAGACAGTTCTAGTCCCTGGTCACACAGTCCTTGAGAGAGGAGGACCAGTGACTGAAGGCTATGACCTTGAGTCAGAAATCATCATCTTTTTCCCCTCCTCCTCTCCTGGCACCTGCTCCAACAGTGAGATCACCAAGGCTCCATGCCCAGCCCTGTCCAGGGCATTTCACACCTACAGGCCTGTCCCTGTAGCTGTGGCAAAAATGATCCTCTAAGTCTTCTGGCAACTGGACTGTCCAAAGGGATCAAGACCTTAGGGTGGGGAGAGGGCTCTTCCTTCCTGGCCTTGTTCCCAGAACAGTCCAGGGAGGAAAAGGGAGGCAGGGTTTTCACATGGAGAAACAGAGTCCCAGGAAGGAAGACCTGCCACACTATATGCACGTGGCCGAGTTGGCAGGCCTCAGGGCTCCTGTGTTGGCTCCTGCAGGCCCACCCTGGACAGGCTGCTGCTGGCTGAAGTTCAGTTCCGCACTACTCCTTCATGTGCTGGGCCTCCTGCCATCACTCAGAAACTAATTTATACCTCACTTCCTCTGAGAAGCCTACACTGAGCCTCAGGTCAGGACAGGACTGGACCCCCGTTAAAGTCACATTAGTTTTGTGTTTGGCTGCCCAGAGGTGAGTATGTGTTTCGTTCCCTGTTGTCTCTCTTCAAAGCAGGGCCTGGTACAAAGTAGGTACTTTAATAACTGCTGAATTAATAAGTGAACTCAGAGCTTCAGCTTGTTCATCTATTTAAAAAGACAAGATAATATAGTAACACCTATTTCATGGATTTTGTTTTAAAAGTTCAATGAGGCCAGGCTTGGTGGTGTGTGCCTACAGTCCCAGCTTCTTGGGAAGCTAAGGTGGGAGGATCCCTTGAGCCCTGGAGTTTGAGGCTGCAGTGAGCTGTGATGGCATCACAGTACTCCAGGCTGGGAGACACATTGAGAGACCTTGTCTCTAAAAAATAATAAAAAAATGAAAATTCCAATGAAACAATATACCTAAAGTCCTCAGCATGCAATAAATATCAATACAAGGCAGGTCTTACATCCACTCAAAGTGCTTAGTGAACTATACAGTGTCAAACCACTGCACAACAGGCTCTGGAAAGGAGGCAGCAAAGTACCCAAAGTGCAGAGACTTGCTAGTGTGAACAGGTCAGGGAAGGCAGCAGGTGGGGAAGGCAGCAGTGGGCCTTGAAGAGCTGACCGAATTGGCAGAATTTCTGAAGGAGGGTGAGCTGGGAAGGAACTGAGCTAAAACTTGGAGCTGTGCGGATAGACTGGAAAAGCCCGAAGCACTTGCAGGGGCGGGTGGGGAGTTGGATGGTAGGATGGGGTGGGGTGGGGTGGGGTGGGGTGGGGTGGGGCGGGGCGGGAGGAGGGCCAGCATGAAACATTCTGCAGGGAGGGGCAAGCACGTGTGAGCAGGCGGGCGCAGATGCGAAAGGTCAGGCTTTCGCACAAAACAGGCAGAAGACAAGGTCAGCTCAGCCGCAAACGGAGCCCCTGGTAATTGTTTCCGCCACCAGGCAGTGGGAGTGAAGGGACAGCGCGGCCTTGCTAGGCTAAGCTTGCAATCTGAAGATCCATTCACCCGCTATTTCTTGAGACCTTGCCAGTTCCCCGCTGAGCCGCGGGCTCCTCACTTGTAAAACGAGGACGGATGCCTGCGCCAGAAGTCAACCAGAGTTTTTCCCGGCGTGGGCACCAGCCCAAGGTCGAGTTTTCCTTTTCTAGTCTCATCTCTGCTCTGACCCCAAGCTCAAAGAGGGACTGGGCTACGGAAGATATCCATGGCATGCGCCCCAGCTCTCCGGCCGGTGCCGGCTGCTTCCTTCTCGGATTCCAGAGTGCCTAGAGGCCAGGAAAGGGAGATGGTCCTGCCAGCCTGGGGTAGAGACTAGGGGGCCAGGCACTGGCGCTGACGCAGGCAAGCAGGGCGCCACTGACTGGTCCCCTCCCACCTCGGCGGGTTGGGGGATGGCGGACCAGCCCCTCCTGGGTGAGCCCTAGCCTGGGGCTTCCTATTTCGGGAGCCGGGGGCGTGGGCCACGTCTCATGTGATGCGAGGGCTATTTAAAGCAGCAGCCCGGGCACGGAGCCGCCGTCCGAATCTTTGCACGCCTGCTCTCTCGCAGCTTGTCTCAGCCTAGCCCAGCATCACTATGGTGGACGCTTTCCTGGGCAACTGGAAGCTAGTGGACAGCAAGAATTTCGATGACTACATGAAGTCACTCGGTGAGCAAGCCGCGGGGCTCTGGATGCTGGCTTGGGGAGGGGCTGGTGGCATCCCTAGCACCACGCAGGGCTCCTGCTGCATCCCTCTTGGTTAAGACTGGGGAATAGGGGAACGCGGAATGGCGGCCTGGGCTAGGGCAGGTAGAGCCTGTTCGGAAGGGGATTTCATGGTCCAAATCTGGTTAGAGACCATGGTAGGGAGGTGGAGGAAGGAGGCAGCTGTGTGGGAGGCTCTTTCCAGGAAGACAGATATATGATTTGGAGGTAGGAGGAGGGTTTGGATAAAGAACACTGATCACAGGAAGGGGAGTCTAGTCAAGGAAGAGAAAGAACGGGGCATGGGTAGTTTAGAAATTGGAGGAGACTGAACCCAGAAAGGGAATGGGGCAGCTAGGGAGTGTACTATGACCTTAAACAAGTAGGAAATACCTAGGAGGAAGATCGGTGGGGAAAAAACGTGTATCAGTGAATCAGATATGAGGATGAGGTAAGACAGGGACCTTCAGTAAGCAGCAATCCCCATCTCTCCATGTTGGATTAGGGAAGGGGATTGTTGCTGAAAATGCTCTTTCTCCCAAGCTAGTCTGACCTTGTCCTGCGGTGATATGTAACCAGGCCTTAATCACTGTCTGTGAGCCTCGTGGTAGGGTGGGGCAAGAGGCCCATCATCAGCTGGGCCTTTCCTGCAACCCAAGGCTCACCCACCTGTGCAAAGGGTAGGCAGAGAAAGCCATTGGACTTCTACTGTGCAGTAGAGGGTGTCAGAGCAAGGTCAAGACCTGGGAGGGAGGTTGACTGGTTTAGGAGGCTGTGAAGAACTGCTGTGGTGTTGAGATGGTTAAGAAAAAGGATTCAAAGAATCTTACAGGTGAGGAACTTGGAGATTCCCATACCGTCTGGTTCAACAGGGAAATTGAAACCAGGAGAGTAGAAATGTATTATAACAATTCCACAGCAGAGCTGATATGAAAACCTAAGGTTTCTAGATCTGTTACCCAGAGCTCTTTCCACTACCCTATAGGCCCTGGGAGTGGGAAGCAAAGTAGGAACTGCTTAGCTAATGATTGACCTCAGCCCTTCTTCTACTGCTTTGGTCTGATGGAGAGGTCAAAGCTCTTAACGGCCCCTAGTCTACCCTGGGCGCTATGCCCAGTAATTCCAGGTAGGCAGTCATTCTTAGAGGAACAGCCCCCCAACCCCCACTAACACACCCCAGCAGCTATTGGGAAGTTGGAATGCCCAGACTTAGTTCCTCCTTCCAAAGCTAGGCCAGAGTCGAGTCCCTGGACTGAGCTGAAACAACTTTACCACTGTTGTTCCCTTATTCCGCCCCAAGTTGGGTGGGTGGGGAGCGATCTCCCTAAAGACCTGTTATTTTTCAGCAGCTTATGCTAAGGCAGCCTGCTTTTTCATAGGAACAGGAAGCCTGGGAAAAGACCCTCCTCAGCTCTCAGTAAATAGCACTGGCTTCATTTCTAAGTAGAACCCAGATCTCTGAGTCTCCTAAATTCTGTCAGCTCAATATTCTTAATTTCTCTTGGTTCAGACCCTCACTTATCCCACAGTGGTTTCCTCTTCAGACACTCTATACCTCTGGGTAGGTCCTAAGCAAACAGTCCTGCTCTGTGCATGGGAGTGTCATTGGCCTGACTTCCTGACACCAAGGGGCAAGGCCAAGTTCCTCACTGGCCAGGCAAGGGTAGGCTGACAGCATAGCCCCTGCCCCTCCTGCTGTAGACCTAGGGCTCTCAAGGGGCAAAGAGGTCCCATCTAGTACCAGTGACCACCGGCACAACTGGTGGCCTGGATTGAGTATGTGCTGGGCAGAATGGCCTAGTGGAAACAGTGAGCCGTTTTGGAGCCTAGATTCAAATCCGTCAGTAGTTTACTCCGTTTGAATTTCGAGGAGACACTTCACTCTCTATTGTAAATTGGGGATAATCTACGCTTCAGGGCTGTTACAAGCATTAAGTACAACTCATGTAGGGCATGTGCAGAGTACCTAGCTCCAGTAAGCACTATGCAGCCAGGCACATTTGGAGACTATACACACCACTTCACTACACTGGACTGCCTCCTGCCTCACCATTGCCTTGGAAGACAGCTCAGCATAAGCTGCTGGGGGGAGAAGGGGCAGTCATGATTAGTTCTTTGTTCTTTACTTGCTTGCAGGACACGTAGGACTTGCCTCGTACCCAAGGAAGCCATGCTTGGGTCAGGAAGATAGTCTCTGTAGAGCCTTAGACTAGGAGTCAGGAGACTTGGGTTTGAATCTCACTCACTGTTTTGTTTTGTTTTGGTTTTGAGATGGAGTTTCACTCTGGTTGCCCAGGCTGGAGTGCAATGGCATGATCTCAGCTCACTGCAACCTCTGCCTCTTGGGTTCAAGTGATTCTCCTGCCTCAGCCTCCCGAGTAGTTGGGATTACAGGCGTGCGCCACCACGCCTGGCTAATTTTGTATTTTTAGTAGAGATGGGTTTCTCCATGTTGGTCAGGCTGGTCTCAAACTCCCAACCTCAGGCGATCCATCTACCTTGGCCTCCCAAAGTGCTGGGATTACAGGCATGAGCCACCATGCCCAGCAGAGTCTAATTCATTGTTGCTACCGCTTTAGACCCTCCTCAATCTGTGCAAGAGGACAAATACTTCCTTTGTATCTAACTCCTAGATCATAGATAACAGGCTTTGAAAATGTTGGGTTGCCATATATAAGGGACAAGAGCACATTTAATGCTTCTTAGTTTCAGGGTAAAAACTTCCAAAGGTGGAAAACTCTTATTACTCCTAAGGCTTTGGGAGGCAAAGTCCACGTTTCTCAGCCTTATTATTTTATTTTTATTTTTTTTAGAGATGGGGTTTCACCATGTTGGTCAGTCTATTCTCGAACTCCTTACTTCGTGATCCACCCACCTCGGCCTCCCAAAGTGCTGGGATTACAGGTGTGAGCCACCATGCCTGGCTCTCAGCCTTATTTCTAAGGCTTTGAGAGCTCTTCAGGTGCCCTGGAAAGAAGCCTGGCTCTCAGCCTTATTTCTAAGGCTTTGAGAGCTCTTCAGGTGCCCTGGAAAGAAGCCTTATGCTCCAGCCTTGGGAGGCGGTATGGCCGAGCACTTAAGCAAGCTCTCGGGTCAGACAATTCTGGGCTTCAATCTCAGATTTGTGACCCTGAGCTTTAACTCTTATGTTTTTACATCTGTAATGTGGAAAGTCTTCAGAGGAACAGGAAGAACTAAATGAGATAATATGTACAGTTCTTACCACACAAAAATCTTATAGTACTTAATAGCTTTTTTTTTTTTTTTTTTTTTTTTGAGATGGAATCTCACTCTGTCAGCCAGGTTGGAGTGCAGTGGCACAGTGTCAGCTCACTGCAACCTCCACCTCCTAGGTTCAAGCAATTCTCACACCTCAGGGTCCTGCATAGCTAGGATTACAGGCACATACCACCACATCTGGCTTTTTGTATTTTTAGTAGAGATGGGTTTTCACCATGTTGGCCAAACTGGTCTCAAACTCCTGGCCTCAGGTAATCCGCCTGCCTTGGCCTCCCAAAGTGCTGAGATTACAGATGTGAGCTATCAAACTTGGCCCAATAGTAGCTTATTCTAATCCCAGCTCTGCCTCTGACTTGCACTGCTGTTCCTTAACCATCTCATCTGTCTAATGGGATCAGTAATCTGTGTTCACCAAACAGAACTAAGGGCAAGACTGAATTTTAAAATTCCCAATGCAAAGGCTTTGAAAGATACAGTCCTCCACTTCATCATACCTAGGCCTGAGAGTTATTCATTTAGTTTTTTGAACACCGCCTCTCTACTCCAGCTCATATGCTTATAACCTTCCCCCTACCCTCAGGTGTGGGTTTTGCTACCAGGCAGGTGGCCAGCATGACCAAGCCTACCACAATCATTGAAAAGAATGGGGATACTATCATCCTAAAAACACACAGCACCTTCAAGAACACAGAGATCAGCTTTAAGCTGGGGGTGGAATTCGATGAGACAACAGCAGATGACAGGAAGGTTAAGGTAAGTCAGGGAAAACAGGGGTCGGGAATGGAAAGTGCTGAGACTCTACCTAGGCTGTAAGTCTTGGCTCCCTGTTATTGTTGCCTGAGGGGTGGACTATCATGGAAGATTTAAATGAAACAAGGTTCATAAAGCCTGTGTAGTGCTGGAATGCCACTGATGCCAAATACATGTTAGCTCTGTCCTCTTGTTTTCTTCCCTCCCTTCTTGGGATTCATCTACTGGCTGCCTCAGAATGGGCAGTGCAGAACCAGGATGTTCTTCTGACCTCAGTATCTACTCCAGCTCTAGCTGGGTGATCCCGTGCAAGGTATGCAGTACTAGCTCTAGGTTTCTTTCCCCTTCCATAGATGATGGAGTTATGTGCCCATGGCTGTGACATGAAGTGCTTTAGGAATGATGCCCAGAAGTCAGGGCCCTCCACTGAGTGAGGTCATTGTGGCCTCCAGCAGCAAAAAAGGGTCAGGAACAAGAAGCACTTACTCAGATGCTGCTTCAACTTCTAAATCTCAGACATGGCCAATGACTCTGACAAATTATTTCTGATGTTGCCAGCTGACAGGCAGGAAGAGCTATGTTCTGGTACAGGGCATTCGTCTTATAATTTTGCAATGTCTTCCCACAAAGCCTCAGCCCCCTCTCCCAGGGTCCTGTCACACTGCAGTGGCTGTCTTGACAGCTTGCCTCAGACATTCCAGGCCAGGCATGGGTACAAGAGAACTTGGAGGCTTTGACTTCTATAGGGTGTCCCTACAGCAGTGTTCTATCATGACACTGTCATTCAGCCCCATCAGCTGTTTCCTCTTCCTCACAGCTGTCTCCAGAAAGGATAGGAGCACACAGGTGGCTGGCAGCAGAGCTGGGAATGGTGCCCGAAAATGGCAGTCTACCTTGGATAAAGGTGGCTGCCCCACCACACACCCCTACCTCCTTGGGCTTGCCTACTTTCTCAATGGGCAAGAACCCCAATTAAACAAAATAGCCCTCTAGAATCCCTAGGGCAAAAATATCTACTCTGAGTAGGCAAAAAAAAAAAAAAACTAGGGGAACAAGAACAAGGAGTAAGGTAAGAATAAAGACAGCACACTAACAGGCAGGCGCCATATTCCTTATCCCCCAAACAATACACAGAACCTTCTCAGATTCTCCTACTGAACCACTTTGCTCATCAAGATCCCTTAGTTTGGCCTTGTGGCCCCCAAACTCCTAGGAGAGACCTGGAAGAGCTGCCAAATGAGAACCAGCTGGTGTATGCTGGCAGCACCCAGAGCTGAGGAACAATCCAAGGGCATCCAGTCCTAGGACTGCAGTTGGTGTCCTTTTGCCCTCTGAAGAGGTCACATGATGTGGCCAGGAAGAGGTGTAGGAATACAGGGGAGGAAGTCTCATTATCCAATACTTCCTATCACAAAGGGTCTTTTAGACATTATGTGTACTAACCACAAGGCTGGAGAAAGATTCTCAGGACTACTCCACCTCCTCAGTCAGTCTTTCCCAGGGATAGACTAGTAAATCCCACCTGTATCTGAAGGGAACAGGCTGTTCAAATAAGTGTCTATCTTGAAGGGTTGTGATGCTTCTCAGAGCCAGGCTCTGTGGCTCCACCATACTGCCTCACCTTCTCTCCTCGCCTAATACCTGAAGGCCTCTTCCCCAGCAAGGCAGTAGGGGTGAAGAAGCTGGAGGTGAACTAGATATCCTGCAGGGCTAGCTGGGAGGTAGACTGCCTGAGCTCTTGTCCTCACACCATCATTAGCTTGGGTCAGAGGTTGTGTCCTCTGTGGCCCCAGTGTCCAGACCCCATCCTGCCCCTCAATCCTGACTAAGATCACAGCTCAGGCCTCTACTGTCTTTCCACAGTCCATTGTGACACTGGATGGAGGCAAACTTGTTCATCTACAGAAGTGGGATGGGCAAGAGACGACACTTGTGCGGGAGCTAATTGATGGAAAACTCATCCTGGTAAGATGAGCAACTTTGGAGCCATATCTAATTGGTTTTTACTACTGCTCTTTCAGCCAAGTCTGTTCTAAAAAGCCAAGTCCTCCCTCGAGAGCCACAGAAGCTGGGACAAGAGTGGTTACAAGGTCAGGGTGGTATCGGACAGGAATTTTCTGTGTGGTGGCTTTGGACTCACACAGGCTGGGGCTCAAATCTTACCTTATAGGCTTCATGACTTCAAATCACCCTCTCCAAGTGCAACTGTAAAATGGGTATTAATAATACCAACCTTGTAGGGCTGCTGGGAAGCCTGTAAGAGACAGTGTATGCACAGCACAAAGCATCTGATACAGCATGTCCTTTGTTTGGTCTTCCTGTGTTTCCACCTTGCCTCACCCCAGGAATAAGTAGAAAACAGGGCCGAATCTGACCCCAGGCCCTCTAGGAGAGGCTCCCATTGCCTATCTCAGCATTCCCTTTTCTCTCCTCCCTAGGACTGCACTGTCACTTGCAGGAACAGGCTGGTGAATGGTGGGGACACTGAATGACAGCACAGTCCTTTCTTTTTTTTTTCTTCTTTTTTTGAGATGGAGTTTCGCTCTTGTTACCCAGGCTGGAGTGCAATGGCGTGATCTCAGCTCACCGCAACTTCCGCCTCCTGGGTTCAGGCAATTCTCCTGCCTCAGCCTCCTGAGTAGCTGGGATTACAGGCACGCGCCACTGTGCCCAGGTAATTTTTTGTATTTTTAGTAGAGACGGGGTTTCACCACGTTGACCAGGATGGTCTCGATCTCTTGACCTTGTGATCCACCCGCCTCGGTCTCCCAAAGTGCTGGGATTACAGGTGTGAGCCACCGCGCCTGGCCAGCACAGTCCTTTCTTCCCCATTTTAGTCCTACCCCATTTTCATGCTTTCTACATCTGGCCTACTGCAACTACTTGACTACTGCCTGGGTAGTAGGAAGTACCACAGCCAGGCTAGTAGATCTGTTCAAGCTTGGGGATTTCACTTGGAGCCTTGACTGAATTCCCCCCAGACCCAGAGAGCAACCAACTATGGATTCTGCCTAACTGCAGGGCCTCAGGTTTTCACCTGGGCATATTCACTGCACATCTTCTTAGGTCAGCATAACCTGTTAAATGCATTCTTGCACTCATGTGGGACAGCGGTCCCCTTGAAGTTTGGAATGAGGTGCCTAGCTTTGGTGGGGATGTGGTATGCAGGACCAAATTCTCAGTGGACAACTGAACTATGGTGAGGCCATGGGTCTGGCTTTATGATGCCAGACTGGATGGTTGGCGGTATAGGGCTCTGGCCCTGGTACTACCCTAAGTTAGGGAAGAATTGGAGTTAGTAGCTGAATACAGTCCTTTCCTGAGTCTCTGGATATTTTTCCTATTTGTCAACTATATGCCAGGCACTATCTTGGGCACTAAGAATGAAGGAAGCCAAATGGTATAAGGGAAAAAGAAACACTCAAGGATCTTGACCAAATCACTTCCTCTCTAAAGGCTAATTTTTCCAAATCTCTAAAATAAGAATTACAATGCCTATCTTAAAGATTTGCTGTACATACTGAAAATATGTATTATTTATATTTATATATATATATATATATATATATATATATATATATAAATGCCTGGCACATAGTGGGTACTCAAGTGACAATTATCAGGAGGGAGGAAGGGTACAGTGCTTGCAATGGCCTTCCTGGCTTCACTCCCCATCTGACTCTGTCTTTCCTTCCAGACACTCACCCACGGCACTGCAGTTTGCACTCGCACTTATGAGAAAGAGGCATGACCTGACTGCTGTTGCTGACTCCTACTCTGCCAATCAGCTACCCCTCGACTCAACACCACATTGCCTCATTTCTTCCTCTGCATTTTGTACAAATCCACAAATTCTTCTAGGGTCAGGTGCCACTGGCCTGGATCCACTTTCAGTTTCCATTGTGTATGTGGTTTTTTTGTTAACGGCATTCATAGGGTGCTCTGAGATCAATAAAGCAGAGCCAAGGCCACCCAGTTGCCTTTTTGCCTTTGGTAACATAACTCTGGGAGTCTTGGTTTCCAGTGTGTCAAAGAATGGGCAGAAATAACTGCCTGAAGGTTACTCAGGAAGAAGCACTGGATGGGAGACTGAAATGGACAGTCTCAGAGACTGATGATCAGCTGAGTCACCTTACACATTTAATAATAAAACACCTGTACCTATACCTTGCCTTTACACTGCCCCCTTCCATGGTCAAATTTCCTGGTTCAGTCAGTGGTGGGGCTTCCCAAAGTTTGGCTGTTGAACTGTCACTTCAGGCCTGTCCTACACTGAGAGCTCTTGGGCCTGGCTGTTCTGTGAAATGCTCTAGGCTCTCCCTTTCCAGAATTCAGGTTCAGGGCACAGATCCCAGGCTTGTACCATAGTGGTGGGAGAAAATGACCACTGGCCAAGATGATTGCTGATCTATGCACCAGGCTAGTTACTCATGGTTACAAATTCTTACTACTTCTCTAATCAACTCTGAGGGAAGAGGGCATCTGATCATTACAAAAGGGAGGGCTTGTAAGTGATCTCCCAAGAAAGCTGCGACCGGCTAGAGCCTTTGGCTCTGTACCTCTGCTAGGCATCTCTCCAAAGTCTAAGTTAACATATTAAATGCTTTTGTGGGCTAGTGCAGGCTCAGTGACTTTAAGTCTGTAAGTTGCCCAGGAAGAAGAATTATAGGAAAAAGAACTTTCAGTAAGTTTAAAACCAAACAGATTTCCATTTAGCGACAGGAATTTAAGCAGGGACCTGAAGTGGAATCAACTGATTCACAGAGGAATAAATACAAAGTAGAACAATGATCTTGGCTTCAGCTGTCTGGTTCAGTGGTCTGCTGGAATGCAATATACAAGTGACACTGCAGATTTTTTTCTAGCTGTGGTGACCACTGGATGTCACTTCTAGCATAGCAGAACTATGTTAGGAGGAATGGGAAAAGTGAGCACCACTTCTCACCATGTTCTGCCTCTTGCTGCCAGTCTCTCTCTGCTCCCATGTTGGATGCAGCAGAGATCACCCACCAATTGGCCCAGAACAGACCAATAGGAAGGGTCCAATTACTCTTCTCCAACTACAGCCAGATTCACCTCCACAACAGTCTCTGGCTCTAGCCTGGATTCTTACAGGAATCCAGCTCTGGCAGTGGCAGCTGGAGAGGATAATGGAACCTCCTGCTGAATGAAGGAAGTTGGGTGAATGAATGGGTGAGCTGCAGGGTTCACTTGCAAAGGGGCCAGGAGTGATAAGGAAATAACAACTCATTCAGGCAGCTGCTTCTGACCGCTAACTCCCAAACCTGCCTGTTGTAAGAGGGGAAGCCATCTCCATGGAAGCAAAGTTAATGGGGTGGGAGGCTATATTCTCACTATTGAGTGTTTCCAGGAGCCTCAAAGCACAAGGCTCCTGGTTTCTTACTTTCAACCACCCCACACTCTTTCTACTCTCACTCCTTGTGTTTCTTCTTGTGCTTCTTCTTCTTTTTCTTCTTCTTTGCTGCCTTGCTATCTTTTGATGTGTGCCTTGCCCTCTTGCCTGTTTCACTCTCAGAGTCTGAGCTGTCAGAATCAGACGACTTCCTGTCTCTATGTTTCTTTTTCTTCTTCTCCTGAAAAGAAAATATTAAAAATCAACATTGTAAGTATATATTTGCTTTAAACAATCATAGCACATAATTGGCCAGGTGCAGTGGCTCACATCTGTAATCCTAGCACTTTGGGAGGTCAGGGTGGGAGGAATGCTTGAGGCCAGGAGTTCAAGACCAACCTGGCTAACATAGTGAGACTGCATCTCTAAAAAGAGAAAAAAAGAAAAATTATAGCACATAATCAATAGGGACCACTTAGTAATTCCTTTTTTATTTTTAGACAGTCTCACTCTGTTGCCCAGGCTGGAGTGCAGTGCAGTGGCATAATCATGGCTCACTGCAACCTTAACCTTTTGGGCTCAAGCGATCCTCCCACCTCAGCCTCCCAAGTAGCTGGGACCACAGGTATGCACTACCACACCCTGCTAATCTTTGTGGAGATGGGGTTTCTCCATGTTGCCCAGACTGGCCTTGAACTCCTAAGCTCAAGCAATCTGCCCACCTTGGCTTCCCAAAATGCTGGAATTAGAGGTGTGAGATACTGTGCCCAGCCACCACTTAATAAAGTATAAGACATTAGAAACAATAAGGTAAATCTTTAAGTACCAACAAGAAAAAAAAATAGCTAAAACATGTTAAGTAAAAGAACCAAGGCATAATGAATGCAGTATGTATTGTAGATTCTAGTGCGTATAACATATACATGTGTATTTATATATATATGCACATGACATAAAGAATATATATTATACATACTTGTGTACATTTAGTATACACAGAGAACACTGAAAAGGAGACATCAAACTGGTAATAAGTGTTACACATTGGGAATGAATGGGGGGAAGGTTACGGGTCTTTCACTTTTTCCTTTATATACTTCTGTCCAATTTGATTTTTTTAAAAAACAAGTATCTGTTACTTTCATTTTTTAAAGTGCAGGATATTAAAGCTGAAAGGGGTCCCTAAAGATTAGCCAGTCTATCTAGAAACAGTGACTCACATATCCAAGGTCAAAGAATAAGAGTAAAAGATTTAGAACTCCTGACTCCCATTCTGTTTGTTATTAGATCCTGCTGCCAGGGGAAATAACTGCCATCAAATAATAAGCCTGTACTTGCTACCCTTGAATATTTATCATCTCTAATTTTACAGCCACCTCACAAGATTATACTCATAAAGAAAAGAGCTGAAAAAGAACTATCCCAAAACTATATGAACCACACCATGCTACCAAAGTAACAGTACAAACCCATACAAAGGATGAGAGGCAGATTTCCAAGTGTCTAATGGGGCAGTATGGGCAGATTTTAAGCATGGCATAAATCTCTTCTTTGAATTTCAAATATCTATATTGTCTCCATAAGGTTTCTAAGAAGAGGGAGAAAGTATGGGAGGAGAAAGAGAGCAGAAAAGGATGCCAGCTTCCAACCAGCACCCTGATAGCTGTAAATCTGGCTCAATGATATACCAGGTCTTAGGAGCTGGCTGTGAGAGACGGTGGAAAGAACAATGAAGCAGATATTAGACAGACGTGGTATCGTCTGTATCTGACCTCACTGATGACTGTTCCCTTAAAATGTAAAATGGAGGTAAGAATAACATCTACATCCTTTACAAAAAATAAAAATAGCTAGGTGTGGTGGTGCCAACACCTATAGTCTCAGCTACTCAGGAGGCTGAGGTGGAAGGATCGCTTGAGCCAGGGAGCTGAAATTGCAGGGAGCCCTAATCCTGCCACTGCACTCCAGCCTGGGCAATTGAGTAAGACCCTGTCTCAAAAAAAAAACCAAAAAAACCCAAAACCCACCTGTGTCATATAGCTATGGTGACGAGTTAATGAGATAATATCTAAGGCTTAGACGAGTTGAAAGCCACTTGTCCCTGATCACATAGGCACAGCTGGGATCTTCACATAGATCATATGAATGGAAATTTCCTGAGTTTTCCTATGTAGCACATGGCCCTTCTTTTTATATAGTGACAGGAGGCCTTATGGTATGGTCATTAGAACAACAAATTTTGGAATAAGATAGAGTTAAGTTCACATTCTAACTCTGCCGCTTAAGTCACTATGTAACTTAGAACAATGATTTAACTTTTTCAAACCTCAGTTTTCTTTTTAATAAATGGGAACTAATAAGTACCTATTTCAAAGGATACTATGAGGTTTAAACAAGATAAGCACTAACTATAGTGCCTGACACATTATAGGCACTTAGTAGGAGCTACATGTATTTTTCTCATTGACTCCCAGGATGCTCTGACAGCCTGGCCAAGTATCTACAGGAGATAAACCAAAATTTTAAGAGGAGATAAAACAACAATTCTTTCTTGGTATCTCCAAAGGAGTAGAGAGAAGGGAACAAAGCTTCTCAGACCCACGTTACCAAGCTATAACAACCATGGCTGGGAGGAGCTGAGAATTGGCAAATCAATAGTTTAGCTATGTTGCGGTACCTTCCTGGATGGCAAGACCATGGAAGTCCATCACAGGGTATTATGAGGTCAGGAGTCTCACTGCCTTCTGCCCCTCACATAGGGGAAGATCCTGGGAAAGTAAAAATGAAAATGCAGAGTCTGGCACCAGTTCCCTGCAAGCCTGGTCCCGTATGGATAAATAAGTGAGGAGAGTAATAATACTGCCTTACACCTAAACAGTGCTTTAACATATCAAGCTTTTTGCATTCTTATCTCTAGATAATAATCTGTAGGGTCAGAATTCATGAATTATTATTCCCATTTTACAGATGGAAAAACTGCAACTCAGAAATGTAAAGTGAGTTGACCAAGGCTAAAGCAGCAAAACCACTGTACTTTTTAACAGAGTTTGGCACACTTTGCTGTCTCTCAAAGATGCATGCTCAGAAGGAGGGAAGATAAAAACAAATCACTAGAAAGCCCTGGCATGCTGGAACATGGACCCTAGCTAGCAAGAAGGGCCCAAGGAGATGGCCTTCTCTTAGACCTCAACTTTGATGCAAAAGCTGTTTTGCAGCTTGAACAAAGACAATTCAATCTTCCATCAGATGGTGTCATTTTCCCTGTGTGTCTAGTCTTAAACTACAGAACAAAAGAACAATGACTTCAGAAGTTGTAGTTCAAAAGCAAAGTTGGGAGTTGTGGTGGGGGAAAGACTGAGAGCCAGAAGGTGAACCAAACTTCTGCTCTCAACTGCATTCAAGTGAGAAGGGAAACAGAAGATACTAGTTTTAAAAAATGATGTGGATTCAAGTATCAGTTGGAAATAGAAAATTTAAAATAATTTTTTTTTTTTTCTGAGATGGAGTCTTGCTCTGTTGCCCAGGGTGGAGTTCAGTGACGCGATCTTGGCTCACTGCAACCTCCACCTCCCAGGTTCAAGCAATTCTCTTGCTTCAGCCTCCTGAGTAGCTGGGATT